TCCCGACATTCGGTATTTTGATGATTTTAGAGACTTAATTCTCCCGAATTATTTCAAATTTCGTGTTCGAAGTTTGTAAGTGGTACTACAGCCTATGCCTAAAAATTTTCCATATAACAGTACCTCCCGATATTTGGATGATTTTAGTGACATTATCCATCGGAATCGTTTCAAATTTCGTATTCGAAATTTGTAATGGGTACTACAGCCTATGCCTAATGCAGGTCCACGTCTTCGTATAGCCTCCATACAACGGTATCTCCCTTTATTCGATATTTTGATGGTTTTAGCGACAATATTCGCCGGAATTGTTACAAATCCCGTATTTGAAGATTTCTTCCAAGTGGTGGAGGGTATTAATAGTTCGGCCCGGCCGAACATAGCTGTTCTGTTACTTGTTTTTATTTTTTATGTACTTTTTTTTGCAAGCGGAAATATGATTGCATTTCATAGTGTCGGTCATGAAACTGATATGTCATTTAACGAACAATGAGTACATTATTAATTTATCAATGGATTGTCTGTTGACTGTTTGAACAATTAAATTTTCACAAAGAAAGCGAGCTATGGAGGCGTGATGGAATTAAGTCACGTTGAATAAAAAGATGCACACATATATAAGGGGTGCAGATAGTAGGTGTTAATCCGGTTTACTCGGTTCTGCCTTTATGTTATCTCCAAATTTAGTAAATTTGGTCCTGTGTTACCTCATCCCTTCTCTCTCCATCGCCCCATTATGAAGTACCCTACCATTTGCAAGACATTAACCATTCCACTTTTCTTTTATTCACGTGCTAAATCACACACTACACATACACTCTCACACTTTCGCACTTCAAATAGAGTAGCTATGATGTTGTTGTTATTATTTTTTTAATGGTTCACATTTCTTTTCACACTTTACTATTTAAACAAAACAACAAGAATCGCCAAGGAACCACAATAACAAAGAAAATAGTAAAGAAAAGTATTTGATGCTAAAATTGTATTGAAAATAGAATTTATTTTGCAAAAAAGAAGCAGCAAAAAAAATTGGGGAAATATTGAGTCATTAAACGCAGATGGGAGCCGAAGTGTTTTCTTTTTGTTTAGCGTAAATTTAGAGAAGTAGAAAAAATTGGATAAATTTAGAAGAGAATGTAGCCGGCTGCTGTCTTTATTAAACAAGTAAATCAATAACTTGTCTTTGCAATTAAATTGGATTTATTAGCAAACCAATGGATGCAAATAATTTCAATATTGTGGTGTGAAATTGCTGAGATTATTCGCAAATATTTGCATGAGCAGTTAAAAATTCCAGAGAAATTATGCAATCATATTGACTACACCGTGAGTTCTAATAGGTATTTAAAACGAAACGAAACCTTGTAAAGGTACCCTTTAAAAGGAAAGGTAAACCAACTACCTTCTATATTACCAGTAGGTCGAAAATAATGGGTTATTCGTGGAAAATGCAAAGTAAACGCTATCCTCCACCGTTTAGAAAGAACTTGCAAATATTAAATTACCGAATATTTGGTGATTAAATGGGGCTAAAAATACTGAATATTGGGTAATATAGTTATATAGGGATATACGAAATCGAGTACCTGTATCTGCCAAAGAGGAGATAATGAAATAATTCCCTTGAAAAATGTGGCTAAAATCGGTACCAGTGTATAAGGGGATATACGAAGATGTTTATCTGTACAGGAAATTGTCTGACTGACTTAACACCCAGACGAAACGGTACTAAATAAAGTACATTTAGTACCGTTTGTATGTAGGAAGCTTTGAAAATTCGTACTTATATGTACTCAATGGTACTAAATTTTGCACAAATTGGAATTGTGATGAACCGATGGAGCTGGAATTCTGAAATTTGGAATGAGTGTCAATGATAGATGCACCAAAGGGTTATTGGAAATTTAAATTTTAAATTTAAGATATGTTCTAAAATGTTACTAAAATCCTTAAATGTTACAATTAGTATTATGTGAGAGGGAAATGTACTAAATAGTACTAAATTCGGAACACTTTGGTTTAGGGTGAATGAATGAAGTTGGAATTTGGCAATTTTGTATTGGGGGTCCCTGTTGGAAGTAGGTTCGTAATAAAGAGTTGGGTTTAGAGTGCACGAAAAGTACTAAATAGTACAACGTTTGGTACAATTTGGCTTCGGGTGAACAGAAAGAGCTTGAAATCTGAAATTTGACATTAGGGTCGCTGTTCATGTGTAGGCTGGACATATGCAAAATTATTGCGGAAATGTGTACTTTAATTGTACGAAAAGTACTTAATGGTACAACATTTGGCATTAGGTGAAGGGATAGAGATAAAATTCAAAAATTTGATGTTCGGATTACAGATGGTATTTGAGTTTGAGATGTGGTGGTGGTTTAGAAATTCGTCATAAATGTGTACAAAGAATACTGAATGGTACTAAATATTATATTCGGTGAAGGGATAAAGCTAGAATCTCGTAATTTGATATTGAGGTCTCTGTTGGTATCTGGGATTGAGGTATGATGGTGGTTTTGGCAATGTGTACTAAAATTTATTACTAAATTAGGATCATTGCTCTCGTCTAGGATGGATAGGTTGAGGATTGCTTTGGAAATGCGTTCTAAATGTTACTAAATTTGGAGACGTCGAAATAGTTTTGGACACTTGCCCCTATATATATACAGGGTGAGATGAAAAAACTGCAACCAACTTCAGACTGCTGTCATTTCTAAGCCACTCGTCCGACAGCTGTTAAAATTATTCCAGTGATAGCTCATTATATTGTTTACAAACGTACAAAAACATTTTGCTGAGAATTTTCCAGAAACCAAAAATTATTCGTGATGGAATTCAAGCGTGATTTCTTTATATTTGGCTGGAAAACCATAAGTGGCTATCGTTAGAGCACTCCAGCACTTGAATGTGCATAAATCATATCTCGTACCATCGCTTGTTACCGTGATACTGGTAGCGTAGCCCGATGTCAAGGAAGTTCGAAAAGTAAAGAAGCGACTTGATCGAAACCCGCGTCGCAGTGGCTGAAAAATGGCAAAAATTTAAAAATGAGCTCGGGGTAAAGCCATTGAAATTCCAAAAAGTGAACTTACACCGCAACGGAAAGAAAATAGACTCAAAAGAAGTAAAGAGTGGCTTCGCTTGGCCGAAAGTGGTGAACTGCCGAATTTGGTTTTCTCCGATGAGAAAACATTCGGTTGACCATCAGAAGTCAAGCGCCGGCCATGGTGTGGGCCGCCTAACAGCCCATGGTCGCTCTCCGTTCGTATTAATCGACCGTTGCATCAGAATAAATGCCGAATAAATATTCTGGAGGGTGTATTAACCAAAGTGTCGATCACCTCAAGCAAGCGCATCGCCGGGAATGGGCCAAAATAGCGCAGAGCAACATAAGGGCAGCGTGAGACGATTTCATTGGCCGTTTGAAGGCCATAATTCGTACCAAAGGTGACCAATTCGAACAAATCTAAACTTATTCTAAAAGTTGATGCTATTTCTGAAATATTTTGCTTTCATTCAATAAAATTAAAAAAAATATATATTAAAATTATGGCGTTTGACTTTGTTGCAGTTTTTTTTATCTCATCCTGTATTATGCCACTGCTCAAGAGAAAGACTATGAGCTATGGGAAACGTTCGACTTATGATCTCAGTGTACATTCTGACACGAATCTATGTGTCTTCTAAAATTTCTCAAAAAGGCTTTACTGGCTCTGTCGCCAAAGTTAAAACACGACTCTATTCGACGCTTTTCTGCGTCCTTATTCTTTCTCTACAAGATCTATCATCTTTAATATCTCTCAATTTTTATTCCTGCTTTCTTTTTATACCCTCCACCATACTATGGAGGGTATATTAGCTTTGTCATTCCGTTTGCGACTCCTCGAAATATTCATGTCAGACCCAACAAAGTATATATATTCTCGATCAGCGTAAAATTCTAAGACGATTAAGCGATGTCCGTCTGTCTGTCTGTTGTAATCACACTCTTTCTTTCGAACGAAGTGAGATAGAAAGTTAAAAATTTGCATTCATGTGTATTTTACCAGTAGACAGGTTAAGTTCTTAAGTGGGTCATGGCGGTCCACGTTTTCGTATAGCCCCCATATAAGGGTACATCCCGATATTCGGTATTTTGATGATTTTAGCAACATCATTCACCCAAATTGTTTCAAATTGCTTATGTCTAAAAATTTCGTACGCAGGTCCACGACTTCGTATAGCCCCCATATAACGGTACCTCCCTTTATATTCGGTATTTTGATGATTTTAGCGACGTTATTCTCCCGAATGGTTTAAAATTTCGTATTCAAAGTTCGAAACGGGTAGTACAGCCTATGACAAAAAAATTCGTATGAATTGGGAAATCTTCGTATAGCTCCCGTATAACGGTACCTCCCTTTATTCGGTATTTTGATGATTTTAGCTACATTATTCGCCGGAATTGTTTTACATTTCGTATTTGACGATTGACGTATTTGACTACAGCCTATTACAAAAAAGAAAAAAACCTATGCAGGTCCACGTTTTGTATAGCCCACGTATCAAGGTCATCATTTGAACGGTATTTTTGAAAATTCTCAAGTTCCTTCCAAATGGTGGAGGGTTTCAAAAGTTCGGCCCGACCGAACTTAGCTGCTATTTTACTTGTTCTTTTTCACGTAGGATGATAACAACGGACCTAAAAGTCTCCGAGGATGATAGTTATATTTTTTTCTACACATCCTTTAACCTAACCTAACAGAGCTATAGATTTGATTTTTTAGAAATATTTTGACAAGAATTTCTAAAGAAATACCCTTAATATTTTAAAATAAATATGTATGTTATACAGGGAATTTCGGACTAAAAATGTGGATTTTTAAGAATTTTTTAATTGACAGAGCACCAAATGTAAATTGTTGAGAATGTAAGCTAGCTGTAGGATTATTTTTACAATAGGGCTACTTCATGCCTTTGAATTTAAAAGAAATTTTCATTTTAAGTTTATTAGAACTTACATGAATTTTGGGCATTTTGTTGGCCAATATTTATAGCATTTTACAAAGTAGAGATGCAATTATAATGGGATTTAAAAATACTGCAAGAAGATATTTGTTCTATTGAAATTTAACATATGTTTTTTAAATTCTATGCATTCCAAGGTGGGTTAGGTCAGTTTAATTTCTTTTATTTTTCTTAATATATTATTTTTTATTTAGAGCTTAATATTTTTTTATATTTTCATATTATTGATATTTTGGTATCCTTGTAATTCGTAAAGTTTTAACTTGTTTCCAATTTTTAATTTCTTAAAACCTCTATTTAGCCAAAGGACCGCACAAAACTTTTTTCTTCGAGTTTAATCAAATTCAAAATTCAATGCATTTTCAATTGCCTTGCACACATTTCTATAAAATTACGCACATCACATTTTTCCAATTTTTTTTTTTAATTTTTAATTTATTCTATTTGTATTTCTGTTCAAAAAACACAGATACAAAATGCTCTTGATTATCGAACATTACAAATATCGCGCCTTTTTTCCTATGGTGTGCCGCCGCCACAGACGCGTGGTATCTATCACAAAAATTCAACACAGGCTACAACACGACGACGTTGCATGGAAAACTAAACGTTTCACTTTCTATTCGGCGATAACAAACCCCCATCAAGAGTGGCAGGCTAGTGGCAGAGGCAGCAACGTACGAGCAAACGAATGGCATGAAACTGATTTAGCGGTGCGGCATGGCCGGTGGCATATCCAAGGCAGCTCATTGTGGAAGACAAGACACACCAAAGGAGAATTTGGTTGGGAGCAGCGGTAACCTATCATTTATTGAAAGAAGCTTCCCAATGCAAACGGTTTGGCACTGATCATTTAGGAGAGAACAAAATCAACGAGCGAGCAAGCGAGCGAGAGAGAGTGCAAATGAATGATGATGTAAATTTTTGCAACAAATAAAGAAATAAATCTAGAGCGTTTTGGCTTGAGCAAAAATTACAATAATAACAACAACAAGAATATATATCTTCATAGCCTTATTTACATTCAAATATCTCGTGTTGCTTCTAATTTTCATACCCTATATTTTTCAATAATTCCGCACATTATAGAGTCTATGCAATATTTCAGGTGAATGATCACATTAAAATTGCAAAAACAACAAAAAAATGTCGAAAGAAGTAAACTAAAGGCTGTAGTTGGTGGTAACGACTAGGGGAAGCTCTACACAGTACAACATTGATGACTTCTACTAGGACAATATAAGGATCATTATACGGGTTTTTCTTTCGAAAGAGTCGTATATGAACTTTGAAATTCCCCATAGATAATGTCCAGAGGGGTAGAGCTCAGGTCCACGTTTTATACCGTCACTGAGAATATCTGCAACAATTTTCAGATTTAGGAAACTCCAGGAGGAGATTTGAAATTTAATAGAGGCATATTTCTAGAATCATTGGTAAAAAATGGGTCATATTTGTTCCTTTTTGCATAGAGTCCTCATATAATCGATTTCAAGTATTTTTCTTTATGTTTCAATCGTATTTATACCCTACACCACAAGGTGGTCAGGGTATTATGTCTTTGTGCATTTGTTTGTAACAGGCAGAAGGAAACGAGATAGACCCATAGTTCCTTTTGATGATCTGCATAGAATCACATTCTGAGTCGATTTATGCATGTCCGTCCGTCCGTCTGTCCGTCCGTCTGTCCATGTATTTTTGTAAACAAAGTACAGGTCGCATTTATTGCCCGATCCACATGAAATTTTGCAAAGATCTTTTGTTTGGCCCAAGGACGAACCCTATTGAAATAGCTCCCATATATATCTTTGTCCGATTTGCCTTTTATTGTGCACCATACGTGTAATATCAGCCCGAATTGTATGGAATTTTGCATATACACCCAAATTAGGCCTGAAAATATGTAAGCCAAATTTGATCGAAATCGGTTTAGATATAGCTATAGCTCCCATATATATTTGTTATGTTTGTCCACCGCCGCCGTAATATACACTATGCAACAACAATATTTGGGGAAATATATCAAATACAGCTCAGAAATACATTTGCTAAATTTTATTGAGATCGGTTCAGATTTGGATATAGCTCCCATATATAACTTCGTCCGATTTACCTTTTATTGTGTACCAAACGTCTAATATTTGTCCAAATGGGATGAAATTTGGCACTTAGGACCGAATTTAGTCTAGAAGCTAGTATGTAAAATTTGGTGAAGACCGGTTCAGATATAGCTATAGCTCCCATATATATTGTTCATCCGATTTGTTATTTTTGTCCACCGCAGCCGCAATATGCACTATGCAACAACGATATTCAGGGAAATATATCAAATACAGCTCAGAAATATCTTTGCCAAATTTTATCGAGATCGGTTCAGATTTGGATATAGCTCCCACATATATCTTTATCCGATTTCAAATTAATTGTGCACCAAATGGGCAATACAATTCCGAATTTAAAAGATACAAATGCTTCGGCATATTTAGTCCTTTGAACTTTAAATTATAATTATAATCATAGCGTGTATGATTGAATTCTCCCATAAAAACTTTTAATTGTTATTTGGAGCTCTACTTAATTAGCAAAGTGGTGTAGGGTATCATAAAGTCGGCCCCGCCCGACTTTAAGACTTTCTTTACTGGTTTTCAATTCATATTTCCCAAACAATTCACATCCAATTTGGCATTTTGATTTTTAAACCCTCCACCATACATAGTATGGAGGGCATATACAAAGGTGGCAAAAAACTAAAGCAACTAAAATCGCAAAGACAATAAATGCCCTGTAACTTTTACAAAAATAAACAAATCGTAATTATTTTTTCAGTTTTAAATTCATTGTCCTTTAAAAAACTAAGAATGAAAATACAAAAATAATTTTGAATGAAAAATAATATATGGAAAACTAAAATGAGCCAATTTTCGCATGCTCGAAACTAAAACAACTTTTGATTATTTATTTTAAAATAATTATATTTTGGCTATTAGTCTATAGCATAATCATTATTTTTGATAGCAGCTGCACACCTACGAGGCATTGAATCTATAACACGCTCAGTTAGGTCCTTGGGTATGCTTTCCCAGGCACCCTGAATTCTTTGGAAAATGTTGTGTTTATTTGTTTCCGAATCTCGCTTGATCTTCCTGTCTACGATACTCCAAAGGTTTTCTATGGGGTTTAGGTCAGGTGATTGTGCGTCCATGACAAAACATCGATTTTTGCCTCCCGCAACCAATTGTTGACAAGTTTTGATGCATGTTCCGGACCATTGTCATGCTGAAACACCCAGCCGAATATTTTTCTCAGCGAAAGGGAACAACGTGATATCCAACACATCTTTGTTAACAAACCGATCCATAACTTCCTTTATTTCGTGGATAGGCACAAGTCCATAGAAAGAAAAACAGCGCCACACCATTTTTGATCCTCCCTCATGCTTTACTGTACCCTTGCACCGTCAAATTGTTCATGTCTGAGCATTTAATATTAAACGTAGACTTATCCCAGAATAAAATGTTTTTACATTGAGCAGTTTAATAGTTAATTTTATTGTTTCCGAAAGCCATCCTGCCTTTCCGATTTTTTCTTTTTTGATGGCTTACGGACATACAGAACAGCTTCCACTACTCGTCTACACACTCATCTCGAGCTCTCTCACCAATTCATTTGAACTCTTAAATTGTTGTTTTTTATATCTCTCACAATTTGTTGATCAGTACAGGCTGAAGTTTTTCATAGCCTTCATCTGTTATAGACTGTTACTACTGATTCAGTTTCAAAAAACCGACTTAGTATACGAGTAATCACAGAAATATTTATGAAATATTTCTCGGAAATCATTTTCTGCGATATCTTGTTTTCATAGTCAGTGATAATTTGCTGTTTTATTCATGTACATGTATTTGCTTCTAGCCATTTTTTTGCACAGATCAGTCTTTTGTCTGCAGACAGGTCAAGTTCTCGAGGTGATCGACACTTTCGTATTTTGTAGTATCAATCTTGCTTTCCAAATACTCCAGACACAAAAGTCCAACGGATTGGTATCCGGAGATGTTGGTGGCCATTATGCGCTGGAAATGAAGCGAGGAACCACATTTTGTAACCATTCTTGGGTGGCGCGTGCTGAGTCCGATGGTGCTGATTCCTGTTGGAATGTCCACCCTCCACAATATTTTCGCGATAATATTCGGCATTTTTTCTGATGCCACGGTTGATTAATAAGAGCGGAGAGCGACCATCGGCTGTTATGGCGGCCCACACCATCACCATGGCCGATGGTGATGGTGTGAGTTCTGGTGACCAACCGAAGGTGCACATTTTCAGCTGATCTCTTTTGCAAGTAAACACGATTATTTTGTTTGTTTACAAACTGCTGGACAACGAATGTTTTCTCATCGGAGAAAACCAAATTCTCTTTAGCTCTTTTGAGTCTATTTTCTTTCTGTTGCGGTGTAAGTTCTTGCACTTTTCGGAATTTCAATGGCTTTACCCCGAACTCATTTTTTAATATTTTCCGAATGGAATATTGCGATATGTTCAGCTCACATGCTATTTTTCGGCCACTTCGCAGCGGTTTTCGATCAAGTCGCTTCTTTAATTTTCGAACCATTTCGTTTATGCATTTCATCCCAACATTACGCCCAAAATTAAATTTAGAACCTCACCTAAATTTTTCATTGTCCAATGTTAATCTCGATGTAGCCACACAAGAAGACGCCAACAAAGCGTCCTCGGTGACTTGAAAGTCGTCTATCGCCAACTATTTATTTACTTTATTTGCTGTCTTTGTTTGAGATAACATTTGTACGTACATACATATTTATTTTTATATATTTTATTTGTGTGTATTTTCGATAATAAAACATATAAATGAAATGAAAAGTCGACGTCGAAGAAGAAAAATACAAAAAAAAAACATGCGGTTCCAATCGGTTCCGTGCACCACCAAGAAAGAAGTAGCAATAACAAAAACAAGCCCACCAAGAAGTACGACCAACATGTGTCTGCAACACACAGCGAAACAAGGAACAGCACCGCTAAAAACCTTTGTTATACGCCATGGGCGTACTGCTACTGCTGTTGTTGTTGTATAAATTTCGTTTTGATATCAAAATTTTCAATGAATTTGTTTGAGAGTGTGCGTGTCTGTTTGTTAAATGTTGTAAATGTTTGCTTACAAGATACAGTGGAGCCATGATGTTTGACACAGTGAACTATTTTTTTGATAAAAAGGCTATGTTTAAAGGCCTTTAAAATTTCGCAAGAACCAAAATCTGATAAAATCTTTTAAAATTCACGTTTCGAGGCATCTAAAAAACCATTTTGAGTCATAATTAATTTCTAGGAAATGATTAAAAAGCATTTTTTAAAGTCTTCAAAAAAAGTATAAGAAATCTAGAAATCTAGTCCTAATTTAAAGGCCTCAAAAATTTTTAAAAAATTTTTAACTTTCAGCGTATCTAAAAAATAATCGAGTCCTTTTGAATTTTTAAATGGTTGGTACCTTGAAAATTAAAAAAAGGTTTGAAAAATAAAACACAGAGGGCTTCAGAAATTCCAAAAAGATCCACGTGTAGAGACCATTAACAATTCCTAAAATGTGTTTCAAAAATCTGCAATTAGCTTAAAATCTTCCAAAAAATTGTGACTTTTACATTTTTTAAAAATAGTTAAAATTTAATTATTTTCAAAATTCTCAAAAAAAAAAAATACTTTAAAATCTACATCTAATGATTTTTAAATCTTCCGTAAATAGATTTTTATAACACGCTTTTGACATTTTTCTTGAAAAAATATATTAAAAATTTTCGTTTGGTGACTTTTAAGAATTCTTCCAAAGTATTCTGAAACTCCAAGCTTAGAGACTTTTAAAATATCTCCAAAAA